CTCCAAAGTCCTTTTCAACACTATAATTCTTACCAAGAAAACTGAGGTGTACCCTTGACATCACCAGATATAGAAAGAATGAATGAAATTCTTCACTCATTAAGGGGAAAATGAAGTACCATATTTTTCGCACTATAAGATGCACTTTCCCTTCCAAATTGTGGGTGGAAATATCTGTGCGTCTTATAGAGTTAATATTGCAGTTGGGGGAAGGAGGTTTGGGCTATCGCCATTCACTGCCACTGGAGAATGCTGGAGCCTTTGCTGCCGAGCAGCTGATTGACTTTTGGATCGGCTTCCTGGATTGGCAGCAATGGTAATCGGTGATGCCTGCCACCTAGAACAACTGATCAGCAGTATTCTGGGAGGCCGATCCAACCACCAATCAGCAACGAAGTCTCCAGCATTCCCTGGCGGCAGCTCAGCTCAGTTGACCGGTTGTGGGTGCAACGGAGTGGAGCCCTGACAAGCTGCTTGCTGGGGCTGCGATATCATGCTGAAACTGACCATGCTGTTTGCTGTTTGCTCCAAGGACGCTAGCCAGATGAATACCGAATGGATGCTGGGAGGCAGAGGCAGATTTTTTCCCCTTGTTTTCCTCCTCTAAAGCTATTACGCGTCTTATGGTCAATGTGGGTCTGATGGTCTGGTGCGTCTTATAGTGTGAAAAATACGGTATTTGTCAGTTCTAAAGATAGCTATGGTTTCTCTTTCTTGGAATAAATACTGTCTTTAATATTCTCAGGGATAAGTATAGATACTACGCCTGTCTGATGAGAGCAAGATTTGATGAGCACAAGGATGAAAAAGACATGGTTAAAGCAACCAAGCTGTTGATGGCCGCCGAAGAAGAATTTTGGGAAAGGCAACATCCTCAGCCGTACATCTTTCCCGACTCTCCAGGTGGCACAAGCTATGAGAGATACGAGTGCTATAAGGTCAGGAGGTGACATGGCAGGCATTACAAGTAATCAGTCCCTCGATAGGTTGCAGAAAACTGGCATTCCCAATCCCAAGAGATTTCAGTAACCTTTCATTAGTAAGTAGAAGGAGATTCCCCCTAAAATGCAGAATTGTGCTCTGGTTCTGAGGAAGAATCCATGAATGAAGGCCACGGGGAAGCTGTCCAGGTCTCGCATTATTGAGCATCAGTGACCAGCCTCTATCTGCATTGGCAAGACCCTAAAGACATGGGAGGAAGCTCGGGCAGGGCATGCTTTGCTTGGAGAGGCACTTCTGCTTGACCTCCAGTTTGAAGAAAGACCTAATAGCAGGGGATGTGAGGGAACAGAAGACTCTAGAGCAGGGGTGTCAAACTATTTCATTGAGGGCCGCATCAGGGTTGTGTTTGACCTTGGGTGGGTGTGCCCAGCTTGACATCACTCGTGTCGGGGACGCCTGTGGTGGCCTGAGTGCTCTGCTAGCGAAAAGGGAGCCCTCCCAAACTCTGTTTTCGCTGGAAGAGGGTTGAGGAGGCTGTTGCAGCTGAAAATGGAGCTCAGGTGGGAGGGAGCGCACGTCCCCCCGAGCTCTATTTTGCTGGCAGGGACATCATGGGCCGGTTCTTCGCTGTTTCCAGGGTGGCCCCGCAGGCCGGATCTAAGCACCCTGTGGGCTGGATCCAGCCCGTGGACCTTGAGTTTGACACCCCTGCCTAGAAAGTTGCTGCCTAGCTATAGTCCTGGAGAAGCTCACAGGACAGTTCTGTATTCAGCAGTGTCTCATGTTTGCAACTAGTGCTTTAAACATCCAGAGGCAGAAGTTTGAGCCCCACAAACTGATCTGAAGGTATAGCATACTCTCCACAATGCCGGATGGTGTTTTATGCACTCAGTGGTTGCTAGAGAAGGATCCAATTATTTGAGACATTCAGTTTCTGAGACTTGCCAACCATCCCGCCATTTTATAATGTGCCTCCTACCATTCCTTTATCACATCCACACTTTTTGGCAGGCTGAAGGAGGCACTGCATTTCTGTAGCAGCACCAACTTTTGAGAACAGCCTTCCTGTGAGATCCGCGGTGGCACAGTGGTTAGAGTGCAGGACTGCAGGCTACTTCTGCTGCCTGCAAGCTGCCTGGAATTTGGCAGTTCAAGTCTCACCAGGCTCAAGGTTGACTCAGCCTTCCAGCCTCAGGCTGTAAAGTCTTGTAAAGCAGTATATAAATCTAAGTGCTATTGCTATTAGTCTGGATCAACCCCCATGGTTGGTTTTTCAGGAACTTTTGAAGATGAAGCTGTTCTGAAAGGCCTGTTTGGTTGTTTCCACCTTATTTTTATTTTTGGGGTTTTACCATTGCATTATATTGTCATTGCATTTTTATTTCATTGTATTTATTTTGTACAATGACAATAAAGACTATACTAATTTTTAAACCATAGATAGGTATTTCTTATCCCTGTATAAGCCTCCAAATTTTTTGTTGGACACTACATAGGAATATGCTACCTGAGTAAGTAAATATCCAAAATTAGAAGGAAAAAGTATTATGAGCTTCTAAATACGCATCACTTTTATGTTGGTCTACAAATGGAAATAACTTTTTCTTCTAAAATGCCCTGATTCTGCCTTACCAAGATAATCAAGTAGTTTTCTGGAGCGAAGTCTTCTAATGCAGGAAGTAGTATCTTTGGAGTCTTACCATTTTGATTTTAAACAGTGTTTCTTAACACCAGCAACTTTTAAGATGTATGGACTTCAACTCCCAGAATTCTTCAGCCAGCATGTTGGCTGAAAAGTTCCGGGAGTTGAAATCCATGCATCTTAAAAGTTGCCGACGTTGAGAAACAATGGTTTAAACAGACCCACAACCACAATCTGACCATTATTAGATGGACAATATACAAAATAAAGACCAAGAAGACTATTATTACTTTAAAGGTACAGTGAATAACCTTTTTTTTTTTAAATACTTCCGCCCTGTAGTCACCCGAATGGATCCTAGAAACGTGGCATCCATCTGAGAAAGCAATGTACCCAGATTACTTTGCTAAGAGAGAACAATGGAAGAAACTGCGCCTGGAAAGTTGGGACAAGGAGGTTGGTTATCGGACTATATTTTACAGTTTTGCTTTTCCGTGAAATAATTTGGAAGCAAGTCACAAATCTGTGGGGTGATACTTTGGGATCTTAAAATGTGGGCTCATGGCCTGTCACCCTATTATTTAGTCCCCCTCCTTGAGCATGTGAGGGAGCCAGAAGTCTTAACTCTTTCAGAGTGGACAGCTAAGGAGTAAAATGGGTGCCTTAGAGAAGAAAAACACACTTTCCCTTTTAAAAGCCTCACCAAAATGGTTGTTTCCCAAAGGAGCTTAATATTGGGCATGCTATAAATTCGTTCACTCGCTCGCCCCTCTCCCTCTTTCTTTTCTTTTCCTTCCTGCCTTCCTTCTTTCCTTCCTGCCTCCCTCCCTGCCTGCCTCCCTCCCTGCCCCTGTTTGTCTGTCTCTTTCTCCTCAAGGAAGCCAGGCTTTTCTGGGGTTCAAATAGCCACACAGGCTCAGGAAAATAATGTTCCTGTAAGATGATAATTATATGATGACATGCCTTACACACTTTGGCTTCTTAATTCAAATTTTTGCTGGGATCATGTGGCTACTTTGGAAGTTTAGAAAATGATGTGGCCTTTTGAGAAAGTGCCACGTATTTCAATGCTCCTATCTATTCCGAGGGATGCTTCTGCCTATAGCACTGAGGCACACGTAATCCCGAAAATCCTAAAGATACATCAGAGTGAACTTGACCAGTTGAGCTGGTTTAGCATTAGATGCATTCATTCTGCCTTTGTCCATTTAGAACCCTCTCCCAACTTCTAACAGCACTATTCTTTTCTGGAACACAGTGGCTCAATGGCTGAGACACTGAACTTGTCAATCAAAAAGATTGGCAGTTTGAATCCCTAGCGCCGCGTAACGGAGTGAGCTCCTGTTACTTGTCCCAGCCTCTGCCAATCTAGCAGTTCAAAAGCAGGTAAAAATGCAAGTCGAAAAATAGGAACATCTTTGGTGGGAAGGTGACAGCGTTCCATGCGCCTTCGGTGCTTAGTCATGCTGGCCACCTGACCATGGAGACTTCTTCGGACAGCACTGGCTCTTCAGCTTTGAAACGATGAGCACCGCCCCCTAGAGTCGGGAACGACTAGCACACATGTGCAAGGGAACCTTTACCTTTATTCTTTTCTATTCATCCCTGAATCTCCAAAGAAGTTTTTAAATGGATGGAGTTGGGGGGGACGGGACCCTTTTTATAGCAATATCACTGTTAATTTTTTTTTTCTAGATCTGTTGCTGGCTGGAATTGGAAATGAACTTTTAATCAAAGCGCCCCCAAATATCTTAAAACAGCCTATTTTCAAACAATACTGTGACACTGCTTACTGTTGGTGTTTTTTTTTTAAATGGATTCAGGGGTGCATTACGTTTATGAACTGCTGTATTAAGGTTTTTCATGCTTGAAAGGAATGATTTGACTTTAAAAATGCTTCCACTGAACTCTCTCCTCATCTTGTAGCTATCTTACAAAACAAAACAACACACATACACACACACACACACACACCTTCCAAGAAGATAAAAAACCCTTTGGATGCGCTGCTGGAAACTTCTTTTAATTACAGGTAGTCCTCAACTTATGATGACAGTGGCGCCCCCAAGTTTCTATTGCTGAGCATTGTTAAGGGAGGTTTGCTCCATTTTACGATTTTGCCGTAATGGTTAAGCGAATCACCGCAGTCAAATTAGCAACGTGGTGACTCCAGCTTCCCCATTGACTTTGCTTGTCAGAAGATCACAGAAAGTGATCACACGACCCCTGGACACGGCAACCGTCACAAATATGAGCCAATTGCCGAAGCACCTGAATTTGGCTCACCCAACTGTGGGGATGCTGCAGTGGCCGTGTGAAAAACAACCCATAAGTCATAAATTGCTCTTTTCAAAGAACGACCAGTAAATGAATGGTTGCAAGTTGAGGACTGCCTGTATAAGAAATGTTGGGAGTGGTCTGGAAGCCACCCCAGGTGCCTTGTTGAAGCGAAGCACAGCCCCCTATCCTCTGCCTCATCCCTACCTCGTGGCTCAGCGTTTCCTCGTCAGATAGAATGCCATGCATTAGTTCAGAGGTCTTCAAACTTGGCGACTTTAAGACTTGTGAACTTCAACTCCCAGATTTCTCCAGCCAGAATTCTGGGAATTGAAGTCCACAAGTCTTCAAGTTGCCAAGTTTGGAGA